CTGCGGGCTCTGAGCCCTCGGCCGCCGCGTCCCAGCCTCCACATGGCCGCCGGACTGGGCGCGGCCTTCGAGGAGCTGACTCCCGATGGCACGTGTGATGAGTGCGAACCAGATGAGGCTCCAAGGGCCGAGGAAGTGTGCCGTGAATGTGGCTTTTGCTACTGCCTCCGCCACGCCGAGGCGCACAGGCAGAAGTTCCTCAGTCACCACCTGGCCGAGTACATCCATGGCGCCCAGGCCTGGACATCCCGGCCTCTTGGAGATGGGGTGGGGAAGGACGACGTTGGGGCTGAGGCGGAGCTGGAGAGAGAAGTAGAAAGCGAAGCGGGGGAGGAGAGCGAGTCAGAGGAAGACAGCGAGTCGGAGGAAGAGAGCGAGACAGAGGAGAGTGAGGAGGAGAGTGAGGAGGAGAGCGAAGAAGACAGTGAGGAAGACATGGAAGATGAGCAAGAAAGTGAGGCGGAAGAGGACAACCAAGAAGGAGAATCCGAGGCAGAAGGAGAAACTGAGGCAGAGAGCGAATTTGACCCAGAAGTAGAAATGGAAGCAGAGAGAGTGGCTAAGAGGAAATGTCCAGACCATGGACTCGATTTGAGTACTTACTGCCAGGAAGATAGGCAGCTCATCTGTGTGCTGTGTCCAGTCACTGGGGCGCACCAGGGCCACCAGCTATCTACCCTAGATGAAGCCTTCGAAGAGCTAAGAGTAAGTATTGGAAACTCAGAGCATAGGCTTTGGGGTCAGGACACCTGGGTTTCAACTCAGATGACCTAGCTGTGACCGCATATACTTCATCGTGCCCCTCCAGAGCGGGTCTGTTCCACTTGTGGGGAGCAGATTTTATTCACCCATTTTGATTGAACTCCTTTGCAAATGACATGAAAACTCTGGACTCTGACCTGTGAAAAATACACAAAATGTGGTATGTGATTTCTGAAAAGTTGAAAACTTCTGATGTCTGGTTTCTGATACTTGAAAACATGGGAAGCTGTCATTTTGCCAAATGAATCCAAACAGATCGTTCTAGAGAAAAAAAAAATACCCTGATCAAATGATTTTCACAATAACTTGATGTGTGCCTTAAGTAGCTGCTTTTAGGTTCTACGTGTTTGAATCTTGGTAGGAAAGGAGGTTAAGTGAAGGCCACTTGGGGTGGGAATAAAGTTTCTGTCCTCTATCTGGGCTTTGATGTATCTTGGATCTTGTTAGTCCCTTTAAGAAGTGTTTGACAAGTAGTGGTGTTTAGTATTTGTTGAATGAATTTGCAAATTACTCTTTATTTGTATTGTGGATGCTTACACTCAGCAAGAGAAACTGATGGTGTTAATCAGGTTGAGGATAGTTTGTGTAATCAGTTCGTTAAGTGATCAGTGTGTTAGTGACTGTTGTCATATGACAACTTTTGCTTCCCTAGGTGATTTTACAGTTGCTGGTATTAGATTACCAATTATTTTGATAACAAAGATCTCTTGTGCTATGACCCCACTCCCACCCTCTTTGCTTTCGAGACAAGATTTTGCTGTGTAGTTCAGCCTGGCCTTGAACTCACTGTTTGGATCAAGCTGGCCTCAGCCTCGTGTGATCCTCTTGCATCTGCCTTCTTAGTGCTAGGATTATAGATATGTACCATGAAGCCTAGTATTCCTCTTTTTTTATTGTACAATACACTTTCTGAAAATGTGCATCCAGATTACCAAGTACATCATTGTTGACCATATTGACACACACCCTCTCCCCCGCGCGCCCCTTTTTCCAATTATAACCATTTTCCTCGTAGGTAACTATTGTCATGACTTCTGGTTGATAATTTTTGTGTTTGTCTTTATGCTTTTACCACACAGGTATACATTAGTAAACTTATTTGAACTTGACATATTGATATCTTGTTCTTATCGTGCATTCTTTTGAGTTTTGCTTCATTTTAAAAGAATATTTGAGATTCATTTTTTGAATGACTGCAGTTCTTTTTCATTGCTGTATTGAATTTCATTTTGTGAATGCCACATTGCTCTGTCATAGATGAATGTTTTGTTCCCAGTTTTAGCTATTATAAATAACATAGGTGTGAACGTTCTTGGTCATTAACCTATGTTGAAATGGAATATAAATCTAGGCGTCAAATTGCTGATCATGAACTATACTTATATTCAGTAGAACTAAATACTTGTACTATTTTCCAAAGTGGTTGTACCAGTTTGCTTCATAATAAAGAGTATCCTTTTGCTTGGCAGCTTCACCACCACTTGCTATTGCTGTGTTTTTAATTTTTGTTAGTCTTGTGGGTATGCAATTTTGAATTCCTTTGGTTATTAGTGATTTTGAGTATCTTTTGTATTTTCTCTTTTGTGACATACTCAGCCAGGTCTTTTGTTCCTCTATCAGGTTGTTTTTTTTTTCATTAATTTATAGGAGTTTTATTGTGTTTGTTTCTGACATCTTTGCTATATAAATGGATTTTGAATATTTTTTAGTTTTTTTTCTTTTTTGTAATTTTTTTTATTGGTACCGGGAGTCTAGACTCTGGACCTTGCACTTGCGAAGCAGGGAGTTGGCACCACTGAGCCCTCTTTATCTTTTCTTCTAAAAAATTTTACCTTGAATAGAAGTTCTTCATTTTAATGTAAAATTTATGAATACTTTATGGCTTATGTTTTTCCCGTTCCACTTAATACTGATTTTTCTGGAATCGAAGTAGAGGCTCAGTTTCATTCTTTCCCCCTGTATAGAAAGCCAGTTGCTCTAGTAGCATTTATTGAAAAGGATGCCTTTTCTACACTGACCTGCTGTGCCACTGGTCATACCTTAAGTGCACAAAAGTGTATGAGCATGTTTCTTGGCTTTTTTGTACCGTTGATATGATAGTATATACCTGTGTGAACAAAATGTTTTCTCAGTTACCATAGCTTTATAACATGTCTTAATATCTGGTAGAGCAAGTCCTTCTACTTTGTTCTATAAGTGTGCCTCAGGCAGCTTTGTCCTTTACATTTCTTAAAATCATACTGTAAAAAAGTCTGTAGGACTTTTTTGGGGGTATTATGAACTAATATTAGGAGAGTTAGTACCAATACAATAAAAAGTCTTCCGACCCATTTGTTTAGGCCTTTTTATTGCTTTACATAAAGTTTTATAATTTTTTCCTGAATGATCTTAATATCAATTCATCATTTATGTACTTTAGATACTACAAAATTTTATAGTATTGTAAAATGTTTTTAATTTTTGTTTTCTAATTATATGAGTATGATTAACATTGATATTTATTGTTACTTTGAGCTATCTGCTAAATTCTGTTATATTTTAATAATTTTTTGTAGATGCAGTTTTTATATGTGATCATATTATCTGGGGAAAGGAACCATTTTATTTCTTTCCAATCCTGTACCCACTATTTGCTTTTTGTTTTCTTTTTTTAAAATTAATTTTATTGGTTCAATTTATATATACATATAGATAGATAGGTAGATAGATAGATAGATATAGATCACATTTATCTTAGGGAATTTGTACCTGTACATGATATATCTTGATTCCTCTTTTTTCCCAGTTCCCCTCCCCTCTCTTTAACCTGTCTTGTCCTCCTTAGTTACAAAGTTTTGTTTCCATTTTAGCTATTTGTGTTTTCTTGCCTTACTGTTCTGAGTAAGACTTCCAGTATAATATTAAATAAGTATGATGGTAGATTTTCTGGACTTGTTTTTAACCTAGGAATAATTTGCATTTCACAAGTAAGTATAGTAATATTTATAGTTTTAAAAAAATAGGTATTTCATCAGGTTAAGTTATCTTCTAGTTTGCTAAGGTTTTTAAAATTTTGAATGGGTACTGAATAGCAGTTTTAACCACTTTTATTAGTTCTTTGCTTATTCTTCAGGTGTTCTTGCAAATATCAGTGTTTGCATGTATGATCTTATTTCTGTCTCTTCATGTTAGTATATTTTATAATTAAAGCAATCTTGCATTTCTGGGATTAACCTTATGAAATACCTGTTTTAAAAAGCTATATTGTTATAATGCTTCCTGTGCTTTGTTTTAACCTTGGAACAATATCACTAACTAAACTACAAACCTTATTGAATTTCACCAGTTTTTCCATAATAATTGTGGCACAGTCCTCCTATCCAAGACCTCACATTATGTTGGTTTTTTTTGTTTTTTTTATTTTTTGGCAGTACTGGGGATTGCATTCAGGGGCCTTCACACTGAGCCACATCCTCAGCTCATTTGTTTCCTTTTGTTTTGTTTGGAACACAGTCTTGGTAAAGTTGCTCATATTGGGCTTTGATTTAGCATCCTCTAGCCTAAGCACTAGAATTATGGGCATGCACTACCATAACCACCTATGTTTTCTTATTCTTGATGACCTTATTAGTTCTGAGGAGTGTTAGCTGGGTATTTTAAAACATGTTCCTCAATTTGTTTATCTGATTTTTTTAAATCTTAGTGATACTGTAGTTAATGGTTTGGTTTTGTTTTATTTTTAGGTACAATAAGGTATTCTTTTATGCCTTGTTTTCACTTAGTAGTGTATCCTAAAAACCACTCCATAGATGTACCCCTTCTTTCTTCTCATTTTTTTAAACTGCAAATTCTGTATCATTCATTAAATTCTCAATTTAAAATATCATATTTTTCAACTCTAGGATGTCAGTTTGGTTACCTTTTTTTGTTTTTTTGGCCAGGGTCTCTGTAGTCCAGGCTTACTCAAACACAGTCCTTTAATTTAAGTTTTTCAAATGCTGGGAATACAGATGTGTATCCCATTACCCAACTGATTTAGTTACTTTTTTTTTTTTTTTTTTGTACTGGGGATCAAAACTCAGGACCTTGCACTTGTGAGGCAAGCAGTGGAACCACTGAGTTAAATCCCAGGCCTAGTTACTTTTTAAGATCTTTGTCTCTGGATCATTTTGTCTCTTCCTTAATTATATGTCATATTTTCCTGATTCTTGTAATGTTTCATGATTTCTCATTTAATGCCATCCATTACTTAAAGGGACTTTAAATAGTTGTTTTCTTTGGGTTGTTTTGTTTTGTTTTTTATTCATTTGTTTTTTGTTTTTGTTGTTAAGTTGGACCCAAGGCCTCGTGCCATGAAACAAATTCATATAGCCATATAAATAT